CCCAAAACTAAAGAACTTTTAAAAAGCACCAAAGAACCGGCAACATGTTGTAGCTTAATTATGTTTTTACTGTTCAGCTGATTTCTGCTGAAGAGAATTATAGAAACATAATAGGGGTTGCAAGAGAAATAGTGAAATTTTAAAGGTACTTTGATTGGTCAGTTTATCTGTGGATATTTTCTGACACGCTTAGAATGATTCTTTTGAAAAGATGCCAAAAAGAAACAAAAGGAATGTGTTTCCACAAAGCAGCATAAACAGTGAGGATATTTTTATCCACACAGGGTCATGCACTGAGAACACACAGATCTGGTGCTTTGGACTTATTGAACATGACAGTAACCACATTGCTTGATGCGTTACTAGATCAGTGGATGCTGAGATGTGTTTTGAGTCAAGTCCACATAGTCAGCTGTAGGAAAAACCCTTCACTCCACCCTGCATCTTCAGCATAGAAGACACATAACTCTAACTGCACACACACTTTCTCCAGTAACAACCGACAGTGGAGGACTTCCTCTATCTGTATGTATCTCCTGTTTATTCCCCAAAGGGGCATTCCACTCTGGTCCCTGTCCCAGCCCACTCCACAGAGGAATGCAGATGTCGGAAAGACTCCTTACATGCACGTTCACAGACGCACAAACATGCACATGCACGCACACACATTTATGAGCATAGAGCGCACATTTTTCATGTCTTAAACACACACACACATAGTTGGATCCACAGCTGACTCACAGTTTGTTGTTCTGGGTTGTGCTAGAGCAGCATTGTCAGGGAGATGACTGTGGAAATTTTCCCTAGTGGAAAACCGCAGTGAGCAGTAAACTCAGTTCAATGGCTTTACAAGGGAGAACCCCAGTTTTCCGTTTTGCTGTGCTTTTTCCGCTCCTAGTTTTTTGATTCTAGGTCAGGCCTCCCTTTTTTAAAGGTCAACACAGGCACTCACTGCTCCATGACATGAGCAAATACATACTGTGCAGCAACTGAGGCTGCTCTTTAAACCTTTGCAGGGTTCATTGAAACGGCATGTGTTTTGTGAGTGGTCACTGTGGGAGTTGAGCATCTAACCCTCACATTAGCACCACAGCCGGCGTTTTGACCTATCACAGTCAAGTAAAGACATCACCGGCACTCAAGGCACGCTGCGAGTTTTCTTGTCTTTCTTGTTTTTCAATCCTTTGTCGATTGAAAGTTACCATCCAAAAGTAAAGGGTGTTGCACGCTCAGCCTCTGGTATCTTAAAGCAAAAATTTTCAGTGCAATCACTGGGCAGCTTTTCTCCAAGGAGGTTGATATCCTATTTTTATTCTAGTGTGACTGAGCTATAAAGTAGCATTGCTCTAGTCTCATGTGTCAAAACTCAAAGACACATGAGACCTTTGTCAATTAAAACTGGCAAAGGCCCAAATCGTAGCCAGCTGCAGACTTAGTTTGATTTGTTGGTTTTTGTGTATTTAGTTACCCGCACTGACTAAATGGTGTAACTTTGAGGCCTTTATGTGGACTAAATCATTGCTAAATGATATCCACGATATTTTTAGTTTTTTATTTATCAAACTGTGTTCATGCACAACATATTTCCAGCCATTCATGGGATCCCAACTGGCCCATAGCAAAACTGTGTTCAGCTGCTCTAGTTGCAGCCAAATTGTACTGTGACACCAACAACAAATGTCTCGCAATAAATTATCGGAAAGCAGCTGTTGAAGAAATCCTCAGAAAATGTAAAAATGTGACCGTATTGAGCTGATCATTTGATTTACCTTGAATCACTGCCAGCATCCTCCTGGGGCATGATGGGTGAACAGCTCAAGAAACC